CACCCTCATCAGTTGTCCTGACAGAAGATAGTTTGCTTGTAGCCAACCCAAAGAGTGCAAAAGCATGGATGATAAGTTCCCATGTGGGCATTGGCAGCTCTGTCTGGAATTCCAACAGTGTGATTGAAGCTGCATTCAGTGTCACAGGACAGAACCATGTTTCCATGGCATTGCAATGTAATATCAAGGGTGTGAGTAAAATGGCCCTCCTGTTTTCTGACAAAGACCAAGAGAAGTGGTGCTGTGGACTCTGAATATGTGGCCACTTCACTGGAGGCACAAACGCCTGGAAGGCATCCAAATATGACTGTACGGCAGTTCTCCTGAGCATATCATGGCAAAGCATGTCCTGCAATTTCTCACCTAGCCCTTTCCATTCTGAATGTGGAATGTCATACGCACATGCAAGTGTGAGGTCCAAAAAGGGCACCAGATTTTGCAGGGGCGACGGTGTCTCTCAAAGCCCAATACTCTGGAAATATGTGTTCTGATCCCCTCGCCTGTCAATCCCCATTGCATGGGCTCGCTTGATACCAGTGTTGAAATGGTATCTGCCATTAGAAACCACATCATAGTACAAGTCCCTGTGTGAACCTCTAGGGCAGTAGCATGACCGACAGCCAATCTCTGCTTGATGTGCCAGGGATCCACTGTTTGCAGCTTGCTGTGGCATATCTGCTGTAAGCGCTAGCAAACTGATGTTAACCAATGTCATCTCACCACTGCATAACACCCACTTCCCAGTCCTCAGCTCACTAAACGCCTCTTTAAAGGATGAAACCACATCGGCCATTTGTGCACCATGGGGACCCAGCGTCAATGTAAAAGTATTGACCACCTTGCTCTGCTCATGGTACGGCAAGCCTGCAAGTGTCATATAGAATGCCTTCAACGCCTGATACATGTTGTGATGAATGCCAAAGTCATCAATGAAAATCAAAATCGGTAGTGACCGCACTTGCTGGTTAACTGAGTGTCGGGCTTCCAGGTAATTCCATCCATACTCCATAACTTCAAGCTCTGCCCGCAATGAGTGCAACTTAATAGTTGATCACAACTGCCAAGTCTTTGATGTCAGGACAAAGGGGACTCTTACCGTGGGTGACACTGGTTGTAGCCCATGATCCAAGGCCATATCCACCCTGGCATGAACAGAACGGTCTTCAATCTCCAGGCAATTATCCTCAATAAGCACAAACTCACATCTGTTCATATCCAAATCAACAGGAAGACATGATGATAGTATCAC